GAGGTGAATTTAAGAGGAAGCGGCGGGGACGACGAGCATCTCCAGCCACCATTTTGTTATTGAACTCGAGCCGATTATTAGTTGAGTATCCGTTAACCCGCGGGATATGGGCGTTTTTGAGAGACAAGGAGAGTTTCAAAATTCCCTCTAATTCGATCACCGAGTTTTCGTTCACTGCCAGGAAAAACTTTAGGGTTCCGTGTGTTACTTATTCTTTTATGGCAAAAATGAAACGGAGGAATTATCAATTATTTAATACCATAATTCTCATGTTACACTACTATCTAGGTATGTACGCTGTTCAACATTTTTATTCGATGATAGTTATCTTACAAATTATAATTGTTTTCGAGTAATTTGAAAGCACCGGTATCGGTGACCACCGTGACAGTCAACGTGTCAGTAACTTGTGACAAACGAAAATTTAGCGATCGAACTTCTTAGTAAGTACGTTGATATTTCTCAAATATTAAAAATCACCAATCATAGAATACAGCCTCCAAACAATTCCACATCACAAGTCATTGAATATAATCTCCCAACAATCCTACATCAGAAATCACCTATCACAGAATACAATCTCCAACAATCAAAATTCCAGGCCCACCAATCACAAAGTACAATCTTCCAACCATCAAAACCGAGCAACATCACACTAATTAGCAAACATCCCCAAAGGCACATAACCTACTCCTGCTTTCCAGAAAGACCCATGAAACGCATTCCGCGCGCAGGTATGCAGTCGCAAAGAGAATATCGTTTTCCGGGGCAGCTAAGATCCACGATATCTCCGGGGTGCTCGCATAATGATTCGTTAGTCTCCCCGTTTGCGGGGCCAGCTAGAGAGGCGCGCACGACTTCGTACATAGACTTCGAGTGGCCGTAAGTGGATGGTACCGCGGGGTGGCTGTGTGCTCGCGAGCACGAAGCTACTGGCACAGACACGCGGAGAGACACAAACACGCGTGCGTATCGTGCCTGTCTGCTCGCCTGGTAGCTCGTTTGGTCTCTATTTGTCCCCAGAAGTTGAAGAGTCCGCGGTCGCACACGTCGCTGCTTATACACGTACATACATGCAGCCACGTTATTCTGTATGTGTTCCATTGCCCCCCGTTTCCCTCTGGCAGCGTTTCTCGCCCCCGAAACCTCCTCTCTTTTCCGCGTCTCGCTTCTTCCAGCGGTTGGCCCCGGCCTTCGTGGCCGGCATTCACGGCTCCTGAGTGCCATCGAGCCCGAAACTCGTTATCGAAACTTATGTGTGCCCCTCCGAGGGGAGGGAGATGGGCCGGCGAGCGCCGCGGCTAAAATCCGCGCGGCTGATTGCAATCAGACCTCTTTGCGAACTTCCGCGCACGGCTCCGACGCCCCCGAGACGACGGGGTAGCGACGACTTCCGGTTTGGGGAGCGCGCGCGCGACTCCTTCCGCTTCTCCAACCGACCAAGCTGCGAGTACGACTATTGTACGGTGTGTAGGCTAAGTGGAAATAGGAGTTAGGAATGATAGCGGTCTAACTTCTATTTCTGAGTTCTTAACCAGTTAATACTGGAACTAGTGGACCCGTCGAAATAGCGTTTCTCAGTTTGCTTGTTTCGTAATTATTGGTGTCTTAACACTGATCGTATCAACACTTTAGCTACCGATCATATTTTTGCGAAAGGAATCTAGGTGATTGTTGATTTAATACGAAAGTAATGCATAAAATAACTTTCGAATAGTGAGAAAAAGATCATGTTTCATTTGTTTCTAACGAGAACAGAAAGCTAGAGATGAATTTTTTTATTACGAGTTGTAAACTTCATATTTTTACCTATCTATTGCATAAAATAGCGAAAAATTTTTCTTGTGGCCCACACATAATAACAATCATTACAACCTGATACAGTTATACATATATAGTAACAATGATTGTTGTTAACCACGAATTGTTAATGGTTAATAATAACGATAATCGAAAAGAGGAAACAGCAATAAAATATCTGAGGGAATGAGAATACGTGTAACAAGGTGAAGAGTGGTCTTGTTCGTCGCGATCACGTCCCTAACAACGGAGAATTCGAATCCGCACGCGTTATTCGCGAGCCACGCATATTGCGAGCGGACCAGCGGATTAAGCGGAGAGACGCGTTGCAGACGGGACGGCAGACTGAACGAGGGGACGGAGCGACCAGGATGCGACCAATGAGCCGCGCAACAATTATTTATTGTTGCCAGACTGCACCAGAGCCCAGCCGACAGACCTGTCTGCCCAATGAAGATTGCTCGTTAAAATCTGATTCTGGTCGGACCGTTTTAAATGGCCGCTTATCGTTCTCTCACAGATGAAAAATAGAATTATCGACTAAGAAGATCGCTAAACAAATCTCAGGTTCCGATTCAGCTATTATACTTCAAGGAATAACGAAAATAATGGAAAGTTAATGTTACAAACAGCAATAACCAAACGGGGGATCCTTGGGTAAATTCAAATTTTTAAGAATATGATAAAACAGAGGAAAATTTTTCTTAATGAAAACTATAAACGGCACTACACTTTAAATATTTTATACATTTTTATGTATTGTATGCATTTTATGCAATTTAGCACTTATCTTTAACGAATAAATCGTTCCTCGAATAATCGAGATAAACGCCAACAAAAATCGTTTGTACTGAAAGTAACAGTAACAATCGTGAAACATCTATTTTCGGAAAGGATGATACGACATGCTAATAAAAATAACATACATAACATCGGGACGCGGTTCGAACATTCGAACTTTGCATCCGCCGATAACGTGATTGTTTTGTTCTACAATTAACGTGAAACAAAACCGAGAAATAGGAAAGATAATGATGAAAAAATCGAGCAGCGCGCGCTAAGCCAATTTGCCGCCACTAAATATAGCCAGATCGCTCGATCGCCGTCGATCGGGGAAGGCAGAAGAATTTCGGGTGGTTGAGACAATATTTGCGTGTCGCTCGGGACGACGATTCGACGTGCACGTCTACCTGGTCGAATTCCGTCTATCGTGTCTCGAGCAAACACAGCCTCTCTCGAGGGCTATTGCTAACGCAACGGACATCGTAGTCCACGATTTACTTAACACTTTCGGCACTAGGCTGTTTCGAGGACGTGTCGGATTGCGTGGCTGCCAAAAATTGCCTATGATCACACTTAGACGCGCACTCTCCCATCGAAACGCGCGTATCGAGTATGGGACAGGAACACTGGATAGCGTTCATCAAAATTCCGATTATATAACCGTTTACAAACAGTTCCCTTAATGAAATGGAAACTGAGCAGTCAAGATTTCTCGTGGCTCGATTGATCTTACACTTCTTGCCTCTCGTATATCCAACAAAATTTGTCGGGAATTCAATTTTTTAAGTGCACAGCTTGAATGCGAACCAACGAGAATTTTCAAAGTATTATTCGAATTGTTCACAAATCGAAATAAAACCTTCTAACTCCAACTTTTGAATATTTTCAACTTTCAGCCGAAATATTGTAACTTTCCGTCTATCATTTCATCAGATTTTCTTTTGCTTTTCTATAGAATTAATCGCTTTGGCCATTGAACGCTTATTGTTTTTCGCGATACAAGCTCAATGTAACTAGCATAGAAGAGGGAATAATTGTTCCCATAATTTTTGCTTTCCACGTTTACTCTTTCCTCAAGTTTTCCCACTTTTCGTTAGAATTAATCTTTTTGGCAGTCTACTGATCCGCGCGGTACAAGCTCAATATAATCGGAATAGAGGGACAAATAATTATCTTCTCGACTTTGCCGATCGAGGAAGGTTGGCGTCCCGGGATTTCAAATTTCTAGCGATAATCGAAAAGGTGGGACGCGTCGGCATCGCCGGCTAACAACTCTCCGAGGGAACCAACGCCCCTGAGGTCGATCGATCCGATTGGCCGAGAGACGTAGATACACCCACGCGTTCACCCACCACCTGCTCCCTGCAATTAATCTCCTCTCAGCAATTAATCCTCGTCATGCACGGCCCGTGTACGAGCGCGCGCGCGATCGCACGTTACTCGGTTGCTTGACTGTGTTAGTGTCTACCGTATCTCGAGCACACCGGTGTTCTTCCTTCGTAGCTGGAACGGTCCACGGCCGATCGGGACGATCAGAGATCGACGGGGATTACCCGGCTGCTACCTTGTAATTAGCTACCCCCTCACTCGATCTTTCATCGTTGGAAATATTAAACGAAGAATTGTAAAACGAGTCGGATCATACGAGAATCTTTTCTCGATTCTTTCAATAGCTTCGGTGCTTGGTAAAATGTAACTTAATTGCGCATTAAGGCCAACGATTGAAATGCAACTTTCATTCGGTTAACATTTGCTACTAGTAATTATTGAATGTGATTCGACGTGATCTTCGCTGCTTTAAGTGGAAATTAGTGGCAGTTAGAGATCGCAAAAACTAATTCCTTACTGAATCGTAGGGTGGAAATTAGAAGTCTCTGATATCAGTGCTCAGATGTGAACCCTGGATTTAAAACCTGTAGGTAACTTACTAGAACTGTTCGAACTAGTAAACCTATTACCTGCGCACTCATTTCAGATCATATATTGTGATTTAAGTAACTTGTATACAAATAACAATTTTCGGTCCCATCTCTACAAGTCTCATTTCACCTTCATGAACACTTAGTCCTTTAACTTCATCACCTAAGGACCCAGTATATGTCAGTGCATAGTTTAGACCCATTTAGATTTTGCAATAGATGCTTTAATCGCATAGAGTAAGTCAGCGGGAGATGGTCTACATTCTGTAAAACTACTATCACATTATAAATATCATTAATATATATTTTTGCTCTGCGCAAAATACAATATACCACTACAAACAATCGAAAACCTAGATATTAGACAATCTAACTGAAATCAGGCCATCTCACCCGGAGTTACCCTATAACAAATGCACGCAAATCGATGATTAGATTTTCTCTAGAAAACGAATCTGCGCGACGCATTTTCTTATTCCGTTTCGAAGAAAAACGTACCTGAGTGGGCGTGAGGTTTATCAGGGAGGCTAGGTGTTCGCGTTCAGGCGCGCTCAGGTATTTCTGCTGCTTGAACCGCCTCTCGAGCTCGTGAACCTGCTGCTGGCTGAACAGAACGCGTCGCTTTCGCCTCTGGGGAAGGTGGGGGAATTGCATCGCGCCGACGCCCATGCCGACACCGACGCCGACGCCGACGCCCATTCCCATGCCCGACGATTTCGTTACGTCGCCCATTGACTGGCCCACCGAACAGCCGGCCATGTTGGTCCCGGCGCCCGCTCCCGCGGCGCTCATTAGCCGCGAGACTGCAAA